AGCTACAGATATCTTCAATTCTTCAAACAAACCAAGCCCATTCTTCCTTCAGGGTCTTTGTACATGCTTATGCTGTTGGCTAGAAGTTTCCTTTCATGCCTAGCTCTTTCTAATTTTTCCAGTTTCAGCTTAAATGACACTCACGTAAAAAGTAACTATCTCTGACAACACTATTTAAAGTAGATCATTGTGTTTTTCTTTGTTCCCCTCAGTCTAGTTGCTTTAATGTTTATTTCAACCCAGTTTTCAAAATTTTAAACTATATTATTTATTCATTCTAATCTTTTTTATAAAATCTCTCTTCCTCATTAATTTCCATCAGAACAAATACTTTTTTGCCCTTTCCCATTTTTGCCCAGATTGTATTACAAGGATTAGCATCTTGTAGATGCATAAAAATATTGTTCAACAAATAAATGAACAATTTTTCATCTGAAAAGGTTAGCATGTATGCTCTGTGTCTGTGAGTGAAACAAGTGTTTCCATGGTAATAACTAAGGAATTAATTTTTGAAGTCGTTGTCATTGCTGAATGAAATGAATTAGAAACATGATTCTAAAATTTTGTGAATATCCATTATATACCAAGCAATGGCTAAATGCATACTATCCAGAAGTATGGAGAACTACCTGTTTCTTTCTTAATTTTGATATGTCCATAACAAACAAACTTTATATTGCTACAGTGTTGGGCAGAAATAAGAAGATGAGATTAAAGGAGGTAAGTCAATATTTTGTGTGTTTTCTTTTTTTTAAAATCAGTCATAATTGCTTGACACCAAACAACTCTCAGCTTGTATAGATGGTGAGGATGCTCAAATTATACTCATCTAGATTTATTTATAGTAACAGGGAAAGTTCTTTCCTGAAAGAGAAAAAAGCTAAAGCTGTCTGCCACCTAACTTTCAAACAATGAAATATTCTCTGAGACTAAACAAGAGACCTTGACTCATACCTAGAAAAATAATAAATATTCAGTTCCATCCCTGCAATGATGGACCATCTGGAACAAGTTACCCTAAATCTGTATATGGCAAGCAAGAGGTTAGCATCTAGAATAAAATCCTATGAAGGTCCTACTAAGAAGATAAAATACAGAACAGAGTTATGGAAGACACTGTGGCCAACACTGGTCACTGAAGCTGTATATTTTTCCTGCATGTTTGGTTCTGAGTGTTGGGTTGTCAAGCACATTGAAGAATGATGCTGGTTTCTCCACATTTATTACCTGTCCCTCCACCTGTTTAGCCAGATTACCAATCTATTCAGGAAGAATCTGGTTTATCCCCAGCTGACTCCTTTTCAGTACTTGATAGATGTTTTCTGTCTCTGGTGACACTTGTCCTACAATTGAGAGGTCTTTTCATTGAGATAGCTCCATTTTCCCTCCATCCCTTCAGCATCCTTTCTATCCAAAAGATTGACAGCATTTTCTTGCAATTCTATCATTTCTAATTTTAAATACATGTTTCCCAAAAGGAAACTTCTATGAAGGTAAAAGGCCGATTTTTAGGGTGTTATATGCTCCTTATATGCTCCTTAATTTCCAGTGCCTCCCCAAGTCCTGGAACACAGATGGTGCTCAAAGATTATTTACTGACTGACAAAAATCTATCACTCTATCAGACACATGAACTGTCACACATATATTTTGCTTTCTAATTTTGTAGAGAATTTTGCTTTCTAATTTTGTAGAGAACACACACTCTCATTTTTGCCCTGGACATTAGAAAGGAGTAAGTGGAGAGTATCCTTTTTATGTATCCTGCTAAACTAAGAAAAAAGACTAAGCTGTAGATGACCATATCATGCCATCATTGGGTTAGAGTCTAAAGATGTATATCATCTCGTATCTTCTGACTTAAAACAAATTGCCTATCACTGTCTCATTTTAAAATGTATGTGTGTGTGTATGTAACTAGCAATCAGAAAATATTGCATTAACATTTAATTATGTAACATTTACAATCATTTAAAAGGATTCTAATCAGAAGGGATTCAGATTGATTTTGTATTATGGACTATAAGCTGCTATTTCCTGTGATGGTGATAGTTACACTTTTGAGGAAACAAATCCAAGGGAATGTCACCTTTAACTTCAGAATCATGAGAAGGTGGTAAGAACAGATATGATTTCCAATTCTACTTTCAAAGTCAATCTATATCTTTTTCTAGCACAGATGTATCATGAACTGGAGATGAATGCCTAGACAAGAGGAAACTGACCTCCCTCTTTTTCATTGTTTTTTAAATCCTGACTGTGTTTAGATGAGTCCAATTCAGTGCAAAAGAATAAAGCATAATAGAATTCCCTATGTTCATGTTGATATTAATTTTCATTTGGTGAGGTGTTTTAAAAATCTCTTTACAAAGGCCCTCTAAGTCCAGACAGTTTTACACAGACTAGATTTTTTAATGGTTTGCCCTTGATCATTGCTAATAATCTCTCTCTGGCTGCACCATCTCTCAGGAAGCTGATCCATACCTTCCAGTTTAGCCTTAAATCCATACTTTCCAGATAAATAAGACCTTTGAATGTCACCTGCAAGGTTTTTTTTTTTCCCTCTGATGCTGTTGCAAAGCCAATGTTAATTACAGAAAAATATTGAGATGACTATGAATTTAGTGCTAATTCAGTTTTTGACATTTATTTTTTATGAGCATGTGATCATCTGATAATGGATATTCTAATTCCAAAGTAAGTCAGCCATTTCTGTGGTATTATGAGAGATAATTGAAAGTGTGTCTCTTTTGAACTTCTGCAAGTGAATGCTGGTATGGAAAACAAATATAAATAGTGAAAAATATTAAATTTGACAATTAGATACTTGAGCATTAAAAGTGACCTAGAAGTGATGCAAGGAATGAAACATGAATTCTGATGAGCCCAAAGGATTCAAAGAATTCAGGAGCATTGTTTGGACAACTGCAAGTGCATTAGTCAGCCATAAGTCCAAAAACATTCTAAACAGTGAAAGATCTGATCCTTTTATGTAACTAATGGACTCTAATAAATATGCCTAAACTGATTCATTAGGAAATCAGATGGTGCAGGACACACACACACACACACACACACACACACACACACACACCCAATACAAGCATTTCTTTACAGAATGAGTCATACATTGTGATTTGCACAAGTCATAAAACAAAGAATCAACTTTTTTATTTTGATTTTTCATAGGAAATGTGTGGAAACAATGCATTTTTTTTCTGAAGATAAGAGCTGCTAAGAAATCATTAAAACCTTGGAAACAAACAGTCAAAATCTACAGAGTAAACCTACAGATTCCTGGAGATTCAAGAAGCATGCTTGTCAATATCACAAGTGAAGCCAATGTTGAGTTTTTGAAATATCAATGTCATTGACTCCCTGAACTTGTGGGATGAGTTCCGCATGAGTGGTGGAGCTGTATTTAAATGTTAAAATGTTTTACAGATTATGTGTGATTTAAAAAGTCTAGCTTATAAGTCTGTGATTGGCTACACTAGCTCAGCAATTATCTGGTCCACACAACTACCATATCCTTAAAACTGACCTGCCATATTCTGATCAAACTGTCTCTGCCAACTCAGTCTACCAACTTACTTGAATGATATTCACTGATATATTTATATACAAACACACATACACACACAGACATGCATATAGTACACCCCCTTCCCAAAGGATCACAAATGAAGATGCTCAAAAGATATAACTGCTAGAGGGCATTTCCACATGATGAAATTAAGAAACTTTTAAGCTAATGTTAGAATACTGTAAAAATAAATGTATCACTGCTATAGCTGAATGTTTTGATGAGAACACAATGTCTAGATGTTTTATTATTAGAATTTGAATGTGTGTGTGTTATTTTGGTAGATGGAAACAATGTTAATCCTCAGATATGTGAGAATAGTCTATGGGGAAATGCTCACTTGGTTTTGAGAGGGTAACACATTGATCTTTTGTAATAAATAAAAGCATAGAACTACAGTGCTGTTCCTTTCTTTAGGGGAAAAAAATCTGACTCTTGTCAGGTAAGCTGCTTGGCAAATAGTAAGTTTAATTCCTAACACCCACATGAGACACAAGAATAGTTGGATTAACAACTCCAGTGTCATACTGTCAGCTGCTGTTTATTTAAATTAAAATGTCACCATCCAGAAATAAATTAGGAAGTTGAAAAATGATAAATTTCTTAAACATACAGTACTTTGGTACCTTGTTAAAATAAGTCTATTACATTTGTGTTTTTGTAGAACTTTACATAGGCTATTTCCATTTTGACATTCAGAGTATAGCAGTTTTAGTTTTTGTTCTTCTTGCTTATTTAACTTTCTTCCTCCTTTTCCCCCTCCCTTTTCCCTCCTTCCCTCCCTCCCTGCCTCTGCTTCTCTCTCACTCTCCTCTCCCTCCTTCTCTCTCTTTCTCTTTTTCTGTCTGTCTTCATTGCCCTTATCATGCTATATGAGGCATATAAAAAAAATTCTACTAATACACGTTTCAAACATGTAGTTCATCTTATGCTTAGCTAAATATATCTACATTTTTACAGATTTCAATATTCATGTCCCACAACTTTCTATAAATCATTGATTTAATTGGGTTCCATCATTATTTGTTATCATATGTTTGATATGAAACAAGTATCACCTTTTTGTGAACTTTCACCTTGCTTCTTGTTATTCGAAGGTTAAAATTCCGGCCCCATTACTCTAAGACATCCCCTACTATCATCCACATCCTGAGATATTTTAAGACAGTAATTTGGCGCTGGGTTCATGGCACAGCAGGTTGTTCCACTTTTGGAGCCAATTTGGTCATAAGCAGGAAGAGAAATAACATATGAGGAAGAAAGAATATTCCCTCTCTGTTCCCATTTGGATGTGTTTCTTGCCTGAGATTTTGCAGGTCATAAATGATGCAAATGCACACTATAATGCAGGTTAATCAAATATGAGACAGTGGTATACAAACATATTCAGCATTAACAACATGGAGATATTTACTTGGCCGGGTTTTCCATTTTCACATAAAAATGCCTCATATTCGGATGCGAATTCAGGGGCGTTGTCATTGACATCCAGCACTTTAATAGCAACAGGTACTCGTGATATCTGACTGTGGTTCCCTATGGGAAGGAAAAAATAACATCAGCATCGAGGGCATTTCATTGTAACGTGCAACTCAACTTTCTCTTTGGAAGCATGTGTGTCTGTTTTCACTTCCCTTAATTAGGATGTTTTCAACATGGTGATTATAGATAGAGTCTGACCACTCAATAAGGAAAATAGCAAGTGCTTGACTGCTTAAATAAAAAAAAAAAAGCATAAATGATTATTCCAAACACAATTTGCTGGAGCTTAGCTTGATAAAAACCATATCTGAATAAACTAAAAGAGGTTTTCTTGATGAGCAAGCTTTATTTTATAGATAAAATTCATTATTTCAAAGACAAATTGTTGTATGCAACAAAGATCGATTTCTTTGTTTATCTTGGGTAGAACACAACCCATTTTAAGCTATTACTTGTTTGGTTATATAGTAGAAACAAAACATCAGAAACCCAGCAAAAGGCCAAAACCAAATCATTTGTTGAGAAGGGGTCCTTAACAATGATGAAAGAGATAAGATTAAAGATGAGTAATCATATTTTTTATAAATTTTATTTTTTCATTTGAAATTGACCTTGGGATACTTTTGGATAAGATGATCCCAAGTCATTTTAATATTATCATTTTCATAAGGATTTTCATCAATGTAAATAGATAATAATCTTCTAATCTTTCCAGGTCAATTCCAGTAGCAGAGAATTCAATATGTAATCCTTAATCCTTAAATCTTTAAATATAAAAAATTACACATACACACGCACACACAGTTCGGGCCCATTAATACACTGTTGAATTGGGCCATGTTATGATTTTTCACTTGCAATACAGTTGATTTTGACTGCATCATGTAATAATCTTTTGATCTGTTGTAAATTATACAGAATGCATTGGAGATGGCCAATTATTTATTTGTGCTTCTGTGGCACTGAATATTTATAAGCAAGCCAAGAGGAGAAAAATGTTTGGCTTTTGAATATGAACAAACAGACTTGCATTTGATATATCAAACTCCTGTTTTTGACAATTGATTACATTCAAACCCTTAAAACCTTCCAATACGATTTTTTGTTGTTGTTTCTTACATATAAAAGTACTCTTAAAGCACACACCAAACACTCATAGATGTGTTATAAATTTAGAGCTGGTTAGTCCTGCTGGCTATGTTATAAGATTTGAATTTAGTTAACTGCCAAGGCTACTCTCCAAAATTCTCTCTCTCTCTCTCTCTCTCTCTATTTATTTATTTTTTGGGGGGATTGAGTCTCACTCTGTCACCTGGACTAGAATGCCATGGCATCAGCCTAGCTCACAGCAACCTCAAACTCCTGGGCTCAAGCAATCCTTCTGCCTCATCCTCCTAAGTATCTAGGACCACTACCTACTCAGCTAATTTATTTTTTCTATTTTTAGTTGCCTGGCTAATTTTTTCTATTTTTAGTAAAGATGGGGTCTGGCTCTTTATAAGGCTGGTCTCAAACTCCTGACCTCAAGCTATCCTCCCGCCGTGGCATCCCAGAGTGCTAGGATTATAGATGTGAGCCACCGAGGCCTGCCAACTCTCCAATAGTTTAATATGGCTAACTACAAATGGCTGCATTCTATCTGTGGAATTCCTAGCACTTCCATAACTGAACATAACCTCATTTCCCCCAAATCAAGGTGAAGCCCTCAAATATCTTGCCTGACATACATATTTTTCTTTACTATTTTTATATCTAATGAATTGATTTATTCTTTATTCAGAGAGGAAGCATGCACCTCACTAGTTTTGACGGAAGGGAAAGTGTAAAGTATCACGCATTACTCTAAGATAAGGAGCTTACATTTTATGCTTTATCTACTCAACAAAACTCTACAATAGTTATATTTCAAATAAGGTATGATTATCTCCTTAGAGAGTTACAAATCTTTTCTAGTCTGACTAGGAACTGAATGGCAGTTCTTGGAGAGTAAAAAATGTAGTGTTTGCATGTAACAAACTTTGCAGTCCCAGCTTGGCCTTCTACTACCTCGCCAATCCTGAGCAAGTTATTTAGCCTCATTTTATCCCTGAGGAAACTGAAACTCAAGAACTTAAAACTTTATACAATTATTATAAATACTATATGAGAAAAAATTCGAAGTGCTCACATAATATTGGGCACCTATCCAAGGGCATTCTAGCCTTTGTGTTTTGTAATTGTCAACATCAACAATATCATGTACATTGAGTGTTTACTATATCCAGTGAAAAATATTTCACATAATCGTATCTTACTCAATCCACAGAAAAAAGTTATGAAGTGTGTAATAGAATCCTCATATATTAGATGTGGAAACTGACACTGAAAGAATTATATCATTGCCAAGATTACTCAGTTAAGCATTAATTTTGACATGCAGTTTTGGCCTTCTAAATATGAACCATTTTCATATTATAATAGTGATAAAGTAAAAAAAGTACATATTTGTGTGTGTCAGGGGGTGTGTATGTAACTAGTCACTACCATCTCCTCAAGAATCTCTATATGTTTATCATAAATATTTTTCTCAAGGTTGACCAATATTTGAAATTTGAGTGCAAACCTCAAATACCAGCCTGGATATATCTAAGGAGCTGTATTTGCAATAATCACATCAGAATTACACTCATAATTTTGCAACAATTTCTAAGAAACTATACAATTTAACTTCCAAAACTTTGCCCATGGTACTCTTTCACCCAAGAAGAGTCCCTTTAATTGATTAACCTCTTTTTTTGTAATTCTTTTTTTTCTTTTTCTTTTTTTTTTCCTGGAGACAGAATCTTGCTCTGTTGCCCAGGCTAGAGTGCCATGGCATCAGCCTAGCTCACAGCAACCTCAAACTCCTGGACTCAAGCAATCCTCCTGCCTCAGCCTCCCTGGCAGTTGGGACTACAGGCATGTGCCACCGTGCCCAGCTAATTTTTATATTTTTAGTTATTTGGCTAATTTCTTTCTATTTTTAGTAGAGATGGGGTCTCACTGTTGCTAAAGCTGGTCTTGAACACTCCCAACCTCAAGCTATCCTCCCAGAGTGCTAGGCTTACAGGTGTGATCCATGATGCCCAGCCAGTTTTTCAATTCCAAGAACTGATGGTTATTAATTTATCTCTGTAGGCATCATTCTTTTTATTACACATCCTAGAACAATTCTTGTGTGTGTAAATAATTGAAGGAAACTTCTATTAGATATTTTTTGCCTTTAATCTCTCCAGCTATTCAATTAACAAATAGCCAAGGGTCAACATAGACTTAATATACTACATTTACAGAATAAACATTGAATAATAGTTAGATAGTCTTAGAAAGCTAAAAGTACAAAAAAATACCATCATACTCCTTAAACACTATTTTGCTCCTTCTGAAGTACAGAAAATGCTAATCTCATTGAGTCAGATTCACTGACAATGGTTGATTGGGACAAGTCTACCAAATATGATATTTTTGTTTTCCCTCTGTCGCATGTTGCATGCACAAACACTCATACCCACACACGACAGCAGACAAACATACAGATTTACTTCTGACTATTTTGGTAAAAAAAAAAAAAAAAAATCCACATTCTTATTTTTCCTGTTTTCTCTCTTTTGTCACCATAGTTGCAATAAATTGCAATTATCTTGTAGATCTAAATGACCAAGCAGGTGGTGAAACTCAAGCATAAAAGATGGAAAACTTCCATGCGCTTCTTCTTGGGGGCAATTTCAAACATTAATGTATCTCTTTTCATATGTAGTATGAGAAAACGTGGTATTTATTTCTGGGGCTGAGAGCCAAAATTCCTGTTTTTTCAGGTATAACGTAGGATGAGGGAGATATTACTTAACATTGCTGGAAAACCACGAATGACAGAGAATTATCATATTTTATTTCATTTGGTCCAGCATCTCTACAAATATTTGTTTTACTGTAATAGTCAATAGACATTTTGTAAATGATTTTATTTTCTTTAGTTTGTGGGGGTTTTTTTTGTTTTTGTTTTTAGTTCAGCAGAAAACTCAGAGCTAAATTTGGAATTCACTTCTCATAGCTGTAAAGAATCTAATGGTACACATTTTATATTTTATGTTTACCCAAATTTGAATAAGTTTTTACATTTATTTAATTAACAATTGCCCAAATTTACCAAATTAATATCTTCTCATTTAGTTGCGTTGTATATATTTCTAAATGTTTCATTTTAAATTAATATTTTAAAGTCTAGTTCCTGAAAAAAATTAAAAGAAAGAAAATGTAAACAGTTTATTTGGCACTGAAAAGCTAATAGAGTTTGTCCAGATAGCTAGATTTTCTGTAGCCTTGGTGGTCATGTAAAACATACAGGGCTGTTAAACCCAACAAAAAGAATTTAACTCTATGTAACTCTTGAATTCCTTGTTATCCCTCAAGATTTAGCTTAAGACACATCTCTACAACATAGTCTTTTAAGCATATAGTCCTGTTCTTTTGCTTGTTTGTTTTGTTTTTTCACACTTATGGCATAATAGCCTGAGGAACTAAAGGGACTCATTCTCCAGAAAAAATAGTCAAAATTATTTTTATAAAACCAAAATCTTTGGAAAGAGTTCCAAGGCATACAGCAAACAAATAAATATTTATTCAAGAAAATATACTAAAACTCAGTAAGAAAGAAAGTCTATGGTATTTGAAGCAAGATCTGCTTGTTCCCTCCACCTTTGCAGTTCTGTAAGATAGGAAATCTACTCCAGACTAGTACAACCAAGAACAAAGGGCTCACTCTTCTCCATGCTGTTAGTTGGAGGGTTATCTACCTATGAGGAACAGAATATTAGTATTTCTCATCTTGCCTAGCTACCAGTTCCTGAGGATAAGTTCTGGGCAAACACAGCAGAGAGGTGAAGATCGCCTTCTTCTACCAAGTCCTCACTAATGGGACAGGTGCTTTACCTTGGGCAAGGTGTCCCTAAGGATACTGGGCTCCTGATTACACTCCCATGGCTTGTAAGGGAGAGGTTTCATGCTAGGACAGGTGAGCCAAGAAAAACAAAGCTACC